AAGTTCTAGTTACTGATGGGGACATTAAGGACAGATGGGAGGCTTACTTTTATAAGTTGTTTAATGAAGAAAGCGAATGTGTGACTTAGAACTTACAGGACTTACTAATTAGCGAAGATTATTAGAATTTGGCATTTTACTGCCAGATTTGCATCGGATAAGTTAAGGAAATTATCAAGAAAATGGAAAATGGTAAATTCGTTGGGTCTAATAGTATTCTTATTGAAGTTTGTAAACATTTAGGCGAGGAGGGTGAATTGTGGCTAACCAAGCTTTTTAATGAAATTTTACGCTCCAAGAATAGCCAGATGAATGGAGGAAAAGCATTCTAGTTCTTATTTACAAGAATAAGGGAGACTGTGCGAACTACAAAGGGATAAAACTTATGAGTCATATAATGAAGTTGTGGAAAAAAGTGATTGAATATAGGTTGAGGTTGGAGACCTCTATTTTGGAGAACTAATTTGGATTTATGCCGAGGATATCCATAACTGAAGCAATCTATTTACTAAAAAGGTTAATAAAAAGATATAGGAGTAAAAGAAAGGATTTACATATGGTTTTTATTAACTTGGAAGAAGTTATTATCGTATGTCAAGAGAAGTACTTTAGAAGGCTTTGAAAAAGAAAGGTGTATGGGTTGCTTATATCAAAGCCATACAAGATATGTATGATGGGGTAACTACTAGTATAAGAACGCCTAGAGGTGACCAAGGATTTTCCCATTAAGACTGGCCTATATCAGAGATCTTCTTTGAGTCCTTACTTGTTTATATTGTTCTAAATATTCTAAACGAGCTTATTTAAGAAAGAATCCCCAGGTGCATGCTTTTCGCGGATGACATAGTCCTCATGGCGAAATCAAAAGAAGAGATTAACTCTAGATTGGAGTTATGAGAAGGACTTTTGGAGTCAAAAGATTTTCGTTTGAGTAAGAACAAAATAGAATATGCGCATTGCAATTTTGGAGGGAGGCAAGGCAATGATGATCTGGAGGTGAAGATAGAGGATCAAATCATTCTTTAAGTATCAAAGTTTAAATACTTAGGATCTATTATACATGAGAATGATGAAATTGATGGAGACGTTTATCATAGAATACAAGCTGGATGGTTAAAGTGGAAGAAGGTTACCGGAGTTATTTGCGATAAGAAGGTACCTAAGAAGCTTAAAGAAAAATTTTATCAGACTGTTATAAGACCAGCTATGTTGTATAGTAGTAAATGTTGGGTGATAAAAGGAAACAAGAGCACAAAGTTAGGGTAGTAGAAATGAGGATATTGAGATGGATGTGCGGTCATACAAAAAAAAAGATTTGAAATGAAAATACGAGAGCAAGAGTCGGTGTGCCGCCTATTCAAAAGAAAATTGTTGAACATTACTTAAGGTGGTTTTGAATATGTGCAGAGAAAGCTATTGGAGGCCCCAATGAGGAGGATAGATTAAACAGTATGGAGTCCCATAAAAAGAGGCAGAAGAAGATCGAGAAGAATGCTCAATGAGGTCATTGAATGAGACCTCTTGGTTAACACATATCTCATGACTAGGTTGTTGACAGAGCACAATGGAGTCGTGTGATTCATATAGCCGACTCCACCCAATGGGATAAGGCTTGTTGTTGTTGTTGTTGTTATTGAATGTCTTAAAAGTTTTATTTCATAGTATTTCTGGTTTGAACCGTTATTCATCGTTAAGTTTGACCATTAAAAATACCGGTCAAACCGTATAATTTGACAGTCAAATTTAACGGAGGATAATGGCCAAGGTATTAATGCTATTAAACTAAACTTTCAAGACATAAAAAAGCTAAAATAAAAAATAAAATTAATAAGGTTATGTATCATTAAAATAAAAGAAGAAACAGTTGGGGGTGGGGACACGTTGGAGGGGAACGGAAAGAGAAACAGAGGAGAATGAGTAGCAGAAACATATGTGGAATAGTGAAGCATCTAAGAGGGCCATCATGGAGTTACGTGCGCAAGCGCAAATTCGCAATGTATAAAGACGAATTAACGCACTTTGGGTCTATTGTCTCACCAGGAAGGATTGTGTGACTTTACAATCCCTGAATTTCAAGATATCAACACAAAATTTAGGACCTTTTACTCACATCGGATTCAACCAACTTGTCTTTATTCATGCCGCAGTTAAAACTTTTTGAAAGCTAAGTTGGGAAATTGAAGAATAAACAGGAAAACAAATATTCAGTGAAAAAAAAATTACATTTGAACTTCTAGTATTTTCAATTTAGGTCGCATGCCTTTTAACTGGGCTCTTCAAGATTTCTTACTTATATGTGAAAAAAATAAATAAAAATAATTGTAATTCAACTTCAACTATTTTCAACTTGCATGTGACTACGAACATTTTGGTTCACTAGCTTATTTTCTTGATAATTTTAATCGACATTTTTAAATTTCAGACTCCGTTATTATCACTCTTTCTTCTTACGGAGCCCTAGATATAGGCCCACCATATTGGCTATTGAAACACCTATGGAAATTTCAAGTTGCATAAAAATACTTTTAAAAAGTAATTTCAGACTCAACCAAACGCGTTTATTACATATATCCATAAGATGTTCATTTAAAAATTTATTCTGATCGATTCAATAATAAATGAGCCCAGGTCTAGACAAAAGTATTGCATTTTAAAAATAACAATAATAATTAAATTGGTGGCAGAGAGCATCTTTTTGTCGGAAACAAAGGAGGTATGAACATGAAAGATCGAGGAATCGAAATATCATGGGGAGAAAACAGAGAGGAAAAGAAAGAAAATAGAAAGCCATAAATCATGGAGATGATGCAGGGGTGGTGTTCATGCCTGCTTCAATCATTTGCAATGCATGTAAAGATATGCAGGACAAAAAAACTATTTATATTTTAGAATGAACTAGCATAAAGATAAAATATCTGGCCAAAAACACAAAGATAAAATTATTATTTTATAAGTGTTCAGTATTTTTGTGCCTTAAACAAATCATAAAAATAAAATATATTAATGGACAACAATTCTAATGATACAATAAATACTACTAGGTACCCTCATTTTTTTTAATATAAAATAAGGGTTAGGTGGCAAATTGGCAATAGAAAATTTTTCATAAATGTTTTTTAATTTTTGGATGTCCGCATGCAAGTTTTAAAGACAGCGCAATGTTAAAAGAATATTGTGCCAATTAAAAGTTACTGATTCGTTTTATGCAGGAATGAATGGCGGGCAGTAGCCCACGTTCGTTCAAGAACGATGTGAACGTGAACATATTTTTTTTCCTTTGGCTGTGTGCTGTGTTTGAGCTTAGGTTTCACCTACCTACCATACAACGCGAACGCAAATTTTTGTTTTTTTTTTAAGAGCCTAATTGGTGGAGGATAACGAGTTTGTCCGCTATGGCGTCGCTTTTTATGTCCTGTTTGTTGTTACATCATCATCGCCTCCAAAACAGCTGCCTCAATGCACCCCAAAACATATTTCCCTTCACAATTTTCGGATACAATCATCACTTTACTGTGTCACTCAAATATAGAGCATAAAACAAATGTCTCAAGTCAGACAAGCGAGCATCATTTTGAGATGCAGTAGAAAACATGTTCACTTCATGCGTGCATTACCTGTTGTCACATGCGCTTGCCAACCCCAATCAATTTATTACTCCAATGTGCTTGAAAGTCTCACACATTACTAACCAACAGTACGATTGTTACAATTGTCAAACTCCCTTCATTTCTATTTATAAATTACCCTTCATTATTTTATACAAAACTTCTAGTTAAAATTAAATGTTCTTGACATTATGTCATCTTTAAGAAACATTCTCAATTACACCCAATGAATCATAACACCAACTTACTTATTTCTTTAAATCCCTTTCTACCATAATTACGAATGTTCATATTGAGGGTACCTTAAAAATGACTATTAATTGCTTCTAATTTTGTCGAATGACTCGTAAGTAAGAACATAAAACTTTTAAAAGTGAAGAGTATTCATCTTGATCGCAGCACCCTCCTTACTTTTCTGTGGCCAAAATTACATTTCAACACCCCCGGCGGCAACAAATTATGGGCCCAGCTTAAGTAAAATTGATCTAAGGCGGCATGACAATAGCCCAAACAAATAGCTTGCCGTGGACCCGGCAGAAAGCCCCGTAATTGGAACGTTAATGGCACTTGTGCAGCTTGCTGGTGGAGTGGCACACTGGCACCGATGAGCTTCTTTTTACTTTTTGGCTATTTTACTATTAGAGGCGATCATAAGACAAGTGACACAGATGAGTTGTGAAATCAAAGGAGCACACTAATGTTCATAAATTAGACCCCTACAAGGAAATGGGCTTCCGTGCCCAAGCCCATATACATGATAAGAAAAAGAATAAGAAGGCATTTTATTGATGATTGGATCCTAACAGAGAACCTGTATGTAATAAAACACGGATTCATCAACTCATCATTTTCTGATAAACGAAATTCCCTTCTCAATGCTCGCCCCCAACTCTTTCTTCGCCTTTTCCAGACCCTTCCTGTTCAAGGTCAGCGTAGATAAATCTTAATATTTAACCTATATAAATGATTATATAATTATTATTCCCAAATAAGACAAACAGTTAACCTTAACATACCTTTCATACTCATTCAAGGGACCCAGGGGTAAGATTTCCTCGATTCCTTCACGGCTCAGTCTCACTTTTGATGCGAAGAATGGGAGCTCAGTTATCTACAATGGTCATCGTCAGGTCATACGAACTATATGAATCAAAAAGCAGCACTTTACTACCCAATATAAAAACTCCAAGTTGCGAACGTAAAGAAAGGCCAGATTGAGAGAGGAAAGAAACATGGCAACTCAGGGACACACTCTTGGCATAACAGTCTTAACAGTCCTTCATATACAGATGCATACCTGTGAGTCAACAAATGCACATTGAATGATGCCAGCTTCTCCTTTCATGCCACGAAGACACGCATCTGCGAACTTAGCAGCAGCATAAGCCTGCATTTTATTGCATATCGGGTAACGTTATCACTATTATGTAAAGTGGAAACTAACAATCGATAGTCCCCAAGGTTGAGTGCTCATTTAACTTCATATCTTTAAATTTGTTCTCTTTGGGTTTGTTTAGATATGACAAAACACTTTTTCCTTATACCTTTGAAAAACAATGAGTTTTTCTTTCCTCAAACCATTACTAGCCAGGTAGATCTAAACGTGGAGCTGAGATAATTTCAGAGGCAAATCTGTTTACTCTGAAAATTCAGGGAGTATAGCTAAATGAGTTTATTAATTCCGGGCTAATTTGTTGACATACTCTCAACAGGGGAAAAATCAAGCAATGTAACATTTAAATTTTTTTTTAAGGAAAAAAAACACGAACCATTGATAGCGTCGCAGAGCCAGCTCCAGCTTTTGCCTCAACAACTTCTGTTCCACCGTTTTGTATGCGATCAGTCAAGTAGTCAATTTCTTTTTGGGTGAAAGAGCTACCAGGCTTCACCTGAAAGTCATGTAACCCTGTTAGCTAATAATATGGTTTACTACACTAGAGTCTTTAAGTTAATAAAAAAGTGAGGGCCCAAAGTTTTACACTTCACAACTGAAATTGCTACTGGTGGCAGACCTGAGAAAGAAGAGGTAAAATTGTGACCCCTGCATGTCCCCCAACAACTGGGACATCCACATCCCTCGGATCAAGGCCCAAGACTTCAGCCTGCAGTTTATCCAGAGGAGGAGCAGATGGACGTCAAATTTATAATTTAGATTAATGATCGCAAAACAAACTACAAAACAATAACATAGTGGTAAACATAATAACTAGGAGTAAATTTTTCTTTCATTTTGAGAAATGAATTCATTATCTAAATTATTACTGAAAGAGCATATGCTAAATCCAAGATCATTAGGACAGCCATACCACAAATGTGTTGGCTCTAACAACATCAAGCATTGTAACGCCCATAAGTCTCTTGGGATCATAAATGCCCGCTCTTTTGAAAACTTCGGCTGCAATTGGAACTGTCGAGTTAACAGGATTACTTATCAAGTTGACGATCGCTTTTGGACAAAACTTAGCAATAGCTTCACAGAGAGTTTTAACAATTCCAGCATTTATATTGAAAAGATCATCTCTTGTCATCCCAGGTTTGCGAGGAACACCAGCCGGAATGATTACCAAGTCCATGCCTATAAGGGCATCCTCCAGCTGCGTCTGCCCCAAAAACCCCCGCACCTATATAATATACCAAAGTTTCTTGTTATTTAAGCAGGCTGTACGGAAAGGATTAAAAATCAAAAGTACCCATCTTCTCCAATCCTTGGATATCCGGGAATCTCATTAGAACAAGTCGAATGACAAAACTTAGAAACAGAGTTACAAATTTGTGATTAGCATGTACATCTGAGCTTTGTTAATTATCCTAACCAAATTTGGCAGAACTAGTGCGATCTCCCAAATTAGTTTAAAGCCAAGATCGACCCTCAGACAAATTTAAAGTATATTCGGAGCAGAATGAACAGAAGAGGACGGACATAATCCAAAAGAAGGAAGAACTAACTTACCACAGCACCAGTGTCCATGTGACTAATATCAGCAGTAACGCCGGGGGTATTGACGACATCATAGAGATGGAGAACAGAAACCAATGGGTTCATCTTCATCAACAGGGACAGAGGTTGGCCAATGCCTCCTGCAGCTCCCAGAATGGCCACTTTGAACCCATGTGCTCCGCCTGTCGCCCGGCAATTCACCGGACTCAAATTCGACGAAGCATCCTCCCCCATCTACATTTTCCGTCATTACATAGACAAAGTATTCAAATCACCAGCTGATTCGGAAAAAAAAAGGGGAAAAAATTAACGGAAAAATGTTCTCTCTCTCGGATAGAAGAGAAATTGATAACGGGCTTTCGATTCTGATGAGTAAAGATAAAAGAGAACCTGGAAACATGGAGGGAAAAGATGCGCGGAGATTCTGGCGATCCGTCGGTTGGCATCTGAAATTGGTCGCATACTCTTTCCAGAATTATGGAGTTGTGATTAAATCCTGAAACACTGCTTTTGTTGCTGCCCCTTCTTTTTTGAATGTGATCTGTTTTCCTCGAATGTAGGCTGTCTCTCCCCGTCGAAGCTTGCTTCGGTATTGATCTCTTCAACAAGCTTTGCACATACCGCCTTTTTTTATTTTTTTTATTACTGCTTCCCTCTTATTAATATAATAATTAACTAACTACTTTAAATAAATAAATTAAATTATTTATTTATAATTAAAAAATATTGTCTTTCTTACCATTTTTTATTAATTAATTATATTAGTTAAAATTATTATTATAAGAACTATCTTAAAAAAATAAATAATTATAAAAGCTATAATTTTTACTAATTTTTATATATTAAAAAAAAGAAGAAGAAGGGAGGTAGTCTTTTTTAAGGCAAGACGATTAGATGATGAGGACGTCATCTGCTGCGGGGATCGGAAAGCGTGGAAAATTTGAAGTTGGTCTTATCTGAACCCTCCACGCTTCATTTCTCTCCTTCCTTCACGTGGATCACCATCATCAATTCACCATTTCTTTCATGCAAATCACACCTGGTTTGTACAAGCGGGGTATTACTGATTTACCTCAAATAAAAAGTCATATATTTAATTATAAAAATCAGTTTTCTCTTTTACAATTGAAATGAATCTACAGTAATGAAATTTTTATTTGATGCAACAATCCAAAAAAACATTAGTTGGCCAAAAAAAAGTCAAAAAAGACATTTTTATTAATTATGAAAATAGTTAAAAACATATTGATGTTGAATGTAGTGAAATAAAATATTTTAAGAAAATCATCAATAATCCTAACTCCGTGTTCAATGGGCAACAGAAGGAAGGATCTCTCTGCGGACAACGAAAACCCATGGGCTGGGCCATAAAAAACTTAGGGAGAGTTTTGTGTTTGGTGCGAGGCTCAATAAGACTCACTGAGTCCCCTCAGTCTGAAAATATGGCTCCTAGTGGACTTGCTTCCGTTTTTGGCCCATCTTGTGTCTTGGATCCACATTCAACAGCCCATCCAATCAGGAAGTGAGTCTGCTGTAGAATTTAAGGCAAGGACTAAGTATAAACTTGCCAAAACTACTCACTGGGTCTAACAGAATGGGTCAGCTTCTTATAATGTGGTAAATCAAATTTCAAGTTCCTATTGGGAGAGATAGCCACTGCTCATATTTAGCGTTCTATAATGTTTCAAACAGGATTGTCTCCAATAAAAAGATACATGTGTCTAGCAAAAAATAATAATAATAAAACCTGCCAAAAATAAAGATTTTAATGAACTTTTTTACTTACATCATGTACTGTGGAATTTAGTCTTCCACTGTCAAGTCATGATGGGCATCAGCACTGGGGTTACCATAATGGTGGCACGCCGCTGCACATCAAAGCCATTGCCATGCCATGTTCACTGGTCTGCTTTTTTAGGGAGATATACTCCACGAAACTGGCAAGCTCAGCAAATTTCAACTGAGCAGTTGAAAGTCATCATCAAGACAGCAACTAGCCCACTAGAGAGCCGCGATCATGGCTCTTGCTTCATTCTAACCTAAAGTTACGCCCACAGTATCCCTGATCTGCCCTCTCATCGCAAAGGGACAATGACATTTTCTGCATAATCAAACGCCATCTGTTTCTCAAAGGGCCAAAAAGAAAAGGAAAAACAGATTCAGTGGGATTGCTTCGAGATGGAGCAACCTACATCTGCTTTTGATGTTTTATTCATGTTCATGAATGCTTGGCTTACAAGGGAAGCGATTCCGCGCGCCTTTGGTTAAAGCTGCGGTTCTCTTGCGGGAATGCAAAAGAAAAAGATGAAACTGGCGATTAAACTGCAATTGTTGAGTGCGGTTGGATTGTATGTGAGACTCTCGTTCTTTAATAACTCGTGCAATTAATCAAACATTTGCCGAAGGATTAGACGTCACTACCTTGATTGAGGCGCGGCGATTAGGTGGCGGCTTCCGGATCCTGGGTCTGTATGTTCTTTGATTCGGATTCAATGCCTCTTGTTCAAAAACAGAAATCCATACCTTTCAATGGGGCACAGTCGAATCCCCGTCAAATAACAATGAAAATATGAAAACTCTACCCCTCGTCTGTGGGTGCAGTTGCTGAAGAAGTCAGACTCTCTCACCAGACTCTCTCACCAAAAGGAGATGGTTCAATCATAGGTGTCATATCCTTAGATATTGGATGAGCCTGACTCTTTTCCTAAAATTTTTATATAAAAAAAAGTCAGAAAACCCTATTTGATGCCAAAAATAGTAAGTGTCTGGTTGCTCGTGGGTGATACTTTTTTGAAAAAAATATTAAAGTTTTTTCGAAATGTACTATGAATAATATTTATTGTTTCAAGATTATCCGATGAAAAACTTCAAAAATTTATGTTTGTGTTTTCCTAAAAGAAAACTGACTTCTCTTATATTTGTATAGTAATTACTAGCATACAGCGAGAAAGATTTCAGTCTTGAATAATTATGAGAATTTTTTAAATGTGACTAGTATTTCATATCTCATGTGATGATGTAAAGGCCAAAAAAAAATTGATACAGGAACAAAAAGAAGAAGCTGAACATATAAAAGAGATTGAACTGAGCACTTGTTGGCTTAACAAACCTTTGACAATTAAATTGAATATTGGCTTGACTATCAAAGAATGTCATTGCAGTATAGAGACTGTTAATTTATCTTCAATGAAACAAAAGTACAACCAGCTCAATAGTCCTGGTTAATTATTTTATACCAATAATCTTGATTAAATTTAAATATGGATGTCCAAGCCTTCTGTAACAACGTATTTTCTTCGCTGGAATAGGAAGATATGTGATTATAACAGTAGCTTAGCAAAAGGTAAGAAATGTTCTAATTGACAATATAAACGCAATAACTATAATATTTCACAGCTTCAATTGGCTTTAATCATTAAGTAATCAGCAAAAGGTGCAATTAAATTGAGGTATGATATTATTTGTTGCGCTTAATGCTTTGATTATCCCACGCCAAAAATGGAACAAAACGGCTTCGAATAAAATCATTAGTTATTTTTCCTAAAATCACATTTTTTGACCCCCCGCCCCCCAAATATTTATTGGGTTGGAATTGATTTAGGAATTGTTTGATTTTCTGGGGAGTGCTTTTGCACTTTCACGGCAAGTTAAAATAAAAATTTTGACATACTTATTTTATATATTATAAAATCACTATTAAAAGTATAACTCGTCCAAGACATTTTGTTAATACTGCACGGGAATTCAACAATGCTGGCAACTTTACACGTGAACGGAAGTAGAAAGGAGTAAAAATTAAAAACCGCGGGGGCAAAGCTGGTAATTGGAGAAATCAATTTTCATCCTCCCTTGCCTCACCGGCACTGCTATAAAAGCGCCCAGCTTCTCGGATTCACACTCGCACATCTCCACCGGAGAGGCGTCTTAATAAACGGCCTTCTCTGAATCCTTTCCTTTCCTCTTTTTCTTCTTATTCAGTTTCGTGAACCTCTGCCAAAATGAGGGAGTGCATTTCCATTCACATCGGCCAAGCCGGCATTCAGGTCGGAAACGCCTGCTGGGAGCTTTATTGCCTCGAGCATGGCATTCAGGTATTTCCCTCTTTTTCTTAATTCTCTGATCAGCATTTTCCATTCTGCATTTCTATTCTTTGTTTCAAATCTCTCCAATCTCCATGCATCATCATTTTGATTAATTTGGTTCATCCATCAATCCATCCATACATATATGTATATGCTTTCGAGATCATGCCATTACAAATATCTCGGCAGTCCCTAACAATTTATACTCTTTGAAGATTTGTTATCGAATATATGGCAGATGTCCATGTATTTGCCGCTATGTGGTTATGTCTATGATTTTAGATTTTCTTGTTCGTTTAATTTCATTTTATTGTACCACCTTCCGACCAAATGCAATTGGTTATTGGTTAATGTGATGTTTGAATTGCTTGGTAGCCCTTATATGACCTTTCTCAAGCGAAAAAGAACTAGTCACCCCCTGATTTTCTCATCTTGTATTTTACCGGCGCTTTTTAGGCTGATGGCCAGATGCCAAGTGATAAGACCATAGGTGGAGGCGATGACGCATTCAACACCTTCTTCAGTGAAACTGGAGCTGGAAAGCATGTACCTCGTGCAGTTTTTGTAGATCTTGAGCCTACCGTTATTGATGAAGTTAGGACGGGGACATATCGCCAACTATTCCACCCTGAGCAACTAATTAGTGGCAAGGAGGACGCAGCTAACAACTTTGCCCGTGGACACTATACCAGTACCAATTCTTTCATTTTAAGAGTTTTTCTCTTTAGTTGTCTATCTGTAGAATATCAGATTCTTACATTGCTTCTTTTTTTTTTCAGTTGGAAAAGAGATTGTTGATCTTTGCTTAGATCGTATCAGAAAGCTTGCAGACAACTGCACTGGACTCCAAGGTTTCCTGGTTTTCAACGCTGTGGGTGGAGGCACTGGTTCTGGTCTCGGTTCCCTTCTGTTGGAGCGTCTCTCGGTGGACTATGGCAAGAAGTCCAAGCTCGGTTTCACTGTCTATCCTTCTCCACAAGTTTCAACCTCTGTTGTAGAGCCCTATAACAGTGTTCTTTCCACCCACTCCCTTTTGGAGCACACTGATGTTGCTGTGCTGCTTGACAATGAAGCCATATATGATATTTGCAGGCGTTCACTTGACATTGAGCGACCAACCTACACCAACCTCAACCGGTTGGTTTCCCAGGTGTGTTATTCATGTAGTTGGAGCTAATTTCGCAATATCTCATGAGTTATCACATGAGACTAAGCTAACTTCTTTATTGATGTGTGGCCAGGTCATATCATCGCTGACGGCTTCCTTGAGGTTTGACGGTGCCTTGAACGTTGATGTCACAGAATTTCAGACTAATCTGGTTCCTTATCCCAGGATTCACTTCATGCTTTCATCATATGCTCCCGTGATTTCAGCAGAGAAAGCATATCATGAACAGTTGTCAGTTGCAGAAATCACAAATAGCGCATTTGAGCCGTCATCCATGATGGCCAAGTGTGATCCCCGCCATGGCAAATACATGGCTTGCTGTCTGATGTACAGAGGGGACGTGGTCCCTAAAGATGTGAACGCAGCTGTGGCAACCATCAAGACCAAGCGCACCATCCAATTTGTTGACTGGTGCCCTACTGGATTCAAGTGCGGTATCAATTACCAGCCTCCTACTGTTGTTCCCGGGGGTGATCTTGCCAAGGTTCAGAGAGCCGTCTGCATGATTTCAAACTCCACTAGTGTTGCTGAGGTTTTCTCTCGCATTGATCACAAATTTGATCTCATGTATGCCAAGAGGGCATTTGTACACTGGTACGTTGGCGAGGGGATGGAAGAAGGTGAGTTCTCCGAGGCTCGTGAAGACCTTGCTGCCCTGGAGAAGGACTACGAGGAGGTCGGTGCGGAAGCTGCGGAAGGTGAAGAAGGCGATGAGGGAGACGAGTATTGATTACAAAATTCTACCTTCAGTCTATCATCGTTTTATGGTCTAGTGTTTTTTCAAATGGCGCCGGTCGCTGATATGTATTTTCCCTGGTTTTCTCTCTCTAGTTGCTGCCATTGGCCTACCATCTGTTATACAGTATGGAGCTTGAACTCTTTCATTACTAATGCCTCGCGATTTGTTGTCTAAAGCGGGAGTTCATTATACAGCAATTACAAAATTGAACTTGGGTTCCACAAAATTTATAAGCCCCGTTCCACATGCTTTGGATCTAGAAAGGAAAGGCCCGAGTACGTTACGAAAGCTTAAATCACCACGATGTCAACTGGGAAAACGAATGTAATGCAAACCGTACAGGCAATGCACAGCGTCATTGACCAAGATAAACATTGCATAGCTAAAAGACATCACAGTGGCTACAGGGGAGCCATGTAGGAAGTTGAATCTTGAAGAGCACAATATAATTCAAAGATGTTGACTCTGACTGCATCCTTCAATAGGCGTAGTCCCAACTGCCCCTTTTGACCTTTTTCCGTGCTGCCGCGGAATTACTACAGAATACTAATTGAAAGGCATGTTTTTCATGCTTGTCTGATTTCGTGTTTAATTCCTTTCCCCCCGTGGGGTGTGGGGAATAGAGAAACGCACAGAACGCGAAGGCACAGAGATTTCACAATAGCTTTGGGCGTAAGGCTGCATCTTACAGCCGAATCTTCGTTTGCCCAATCGAACTAAGAGGGTGTTTGAGAATGTTCAAAAGTACTTCTCACGAGTATTTTTTATAAAACGAGACAATTCATTTACGTATTTACTTTGTAAACCGTAAAAACACTTTAAAACTATAATTTGGTTTACATCCAAACACTCTTTAAATCAAATAAGACTTGTACGTAAAATTTGAGTGAACAATGGCCAATGATTCAAACTATTGCATTTATTAACCTCAGAATCCTCTTCTTTCTGTACAGAAAATTAAACAAATATATATATATAATTCATTAGCTTTTTCCTTGCATCTCGAGAAATACGTTTCAAAATATTGATAAAGAAAGACCCATAATTTATTATCAAATATGGACTTACCCATTCCCATTATTGTTTTCAATTTAATTGCTTCTCTGAATTTAAAAAAAAATGACGTTCCTTCCATTTCATTAAAATTTTCTTCATAAGGAGGCAGGAGGTGTAATCGATTTCATGCTTTATATCCCATTGAAATAGCCCTCTTATTATGCAGATTTAAAGATTTCAAAATTAAAGTTAGATGTCACAAAAAATGGAATTATATCATATGGAAAATCTAAATTGCCTTTTTTTCTTCCCCAGAATTATAGTGACCTTCTATCTATTCACAATTCAGCCTTTTGATTACCCATCTAAAAACGGTTTACTTGATTAAACTTTTTCTTCTTCCAATTCCACACCCCCGGAGCGGGAAAAAAGAAAAAAGAAAAGGAGAATTACATTGGTCTACTTGTGTTTATAACTGTCTCCCCCAGATTTTTTCTTCTCTCCATTATTGTTTATCTCTTCTTTTCTCTCTTCACTTTCTAGTTTCGAGAGTTCACCCAGTATGCATTATTCTCACAATCATACAGCTATGATAGACATGATCTCTTCATCTCCAAGCTTATCGCAAGGCCCCATGATGATAACTTGTCGAAAATCACTTGTTATCTTAAAAAAGGAACGTTCCTCTCACCTTCGTGCTTTCAACAGAGGAATTTTTGACGAATGTCCAACTTCATCGTTTTCTCAAATCATAATATCAACCCTGACTGTCAAATACATCTCTAGAAAATTCATATTCAAACTTGCTATTTAAAAAGTCTATGCTTTGCAGAAAATTTGACGCCCGTGGAAGAACGTACGTAGACGTACAGCAGTTCTCATGTATAAGAAGGACTTGTAGACGTATAAAATGGTTGCAGAAGACAGGGGAAGTACGAGAGCGTTGTGGCAGCACTGTATAATTAAAGTTTTTTCAATTTAAATAATAAAAAAGTATACGGCCAAAGTATAATTTAATTAATCATGTCTGTAGTACTTTCTAAGTCCGTTGTGCCTCCGTGCGTAACTACAGGCAGGCAGCCACTATAGGAACACACCACAACAATAATAACAAAATCATTGCAAGCAATGTTTCTTTTTTCTTTTTTTAATATGTGAGAGAACCATAGTATTAGTCCCTTTCATTGGAATGAGCTCCTATTAGTGTTATCACTTGAATTGTACAAATAGATAGACAAAACTGTAAGTGATCGTGTTGATGAGTATTTTATTAATTATGAGCCCACCCAATTAAAGTCAATATGAGAACAGCCAGAGATGAGATATCAGGTTAAGAGGAATGAAAAGATTTACAAGTGTGAGACAGCAAATATGTGGCAAATAGTAAATGAATTAACGCGGTTTTAAGGAATATGTGTGTGTGTGTCTGTGTAAAGAAGCGATATATACGCAGCCAATTAAAAATGAAACACAGCAGATTAACTGGCAGATAGCATGTGAGAGGAAACTTCTAAAACGGTGGCCCCACGGAAAGGGGCATATATATAATTCCATGTCATGTTAATGCAACTTGGCATAATATATGGAAATTAGACTTGAAGACCCTCCATTTTTCCCTAAGATTGTATTAAATATCTTAATCATACTCGGTGGATGAATACTTAGAATATGTCAAATTTAGACTCCCTTAGCCTATGCGCCTATACCTATATATGGTGAATTTGGATGCTGAATGATTTACTGACCTTTACGAATATAGAAGACTAATTTCGTATTAGTCTAAATATATAAGTCATTAAATACTATTTTCTAACAATGCTCTCCACAAAGAAATCATTATTATTTTAAATAGAAACTGATGTTTATTTTTTACCAAAAAAAATAAAAACTGACACTTATAGCTTCAAAAGAAGCAAAGACAACACAAATACAGCGGTTAGCTTCTCTCTTTTTTTTTTTATACAAAAATTTTTAGAAAGGGGTTGGGCTCACCCACGATTCAAAGGCAGGGCGAAATCTCCCTTCCTCCTAGGTCATACCAATGTTGAGCAGGGCGAGCCGTCAATTACCCTCAGGCGTTTACCTAGGCACCCAAGAGCTAGGATCAAGCGCCGCGACTGGAACCACAAAAAGTGGTTAGCTTCTCTGATCAATCGCCATCCCTTAATACATAGGGAGCGGTTAATTGACAATAAATTTGAGAAAAATATATACGGGATTAATCAATGCGTTAATCGCACTGTTTTACCTTAAAGAATTAATTAACACCCACAACTTGTTGCACGGAGAAGGATGAATTATTATTATTTTGATAATTATTATGAGCATTATTAGAAAAATCACAGGGGATGATAAAAGGGAGATGAAAGCAGAAGATGCCAATGGGAGAATAGCACGTGAGTGGCAATGGCCCGACGACGGGCCAATCCTTGAGAATACGCGAACAGCATGCTATGCCATTCTCATATTCTTCGAGAGTCAAACGTTCTCCCTCCCTATCTCTCTCTATATCTCTCGCTCCACAACTGCGCTAGCGGAAAAGATCGCAATCTCCACCCAACCGACTTCTTCGCTCCCAAACAGTCTTCACTACGTAACGCCATGACCCACTAAGAAATTGAATCCCCAGAATTTAGTCACTCCTCCCCAATTCTCAAAACCTCAGTTTTCCCGTCATATCTCATCCTTGGTATTGTTTGTTGGCCGGAGGCCCTGTTTCATGGCGACCGCGATAGCTACCTCCGGAGACGCCTTCGGCACCAGGACTAATAATCGTCCCCAACCGACTAACCGGCCGAGACCAAAGCGAATATGCTTTTCATTTGCTGCATATGCCAAGACTCTCATACAACATCTCAAGTCCTCCAATATAGCCGTGGAGGAAGGCCTTTCCGACTCCGAGATTTCACACCTCGAGTCCTCCCTCAACTTCTGTTTTCCACCGGACCTCCGCTCTATACTCCAGCTGGGTCTGCCGACGTCCCCGGGCTTCCCCAACTGGCGTTCCTCCTCTGCTCAGCAGCTCCAAGTCCTGCTGAACCTCCCCGTATTTTCTCTGTTGCGACGGGTCTCGAAGAACAACTTCTGGCACTCTTCTTGGGGGACTCGGCCTCGGGACAGAGGCACGGCTCTGGATTATGCGCGCCGATTCTTGGAGGAGGCGCCCGCCCTGGTCCCAATTTACCGGCATTGCTACATAGCATCGTCTCCGAATTTAGCGGGGAACCCTGTGTTCTGCGTGGATCACGAGGAGACGTTCGGCTGCTGAGCAACGACGTGTCCGGGTTCTTCGGAGAGGCGGGGCTTTGGACGGAGAATTGGGAATGGGACGAGCCGGTGTGGGCGGCAACGACGGCGAGGAGGTGGAGTTTTGGTCGGAGGTGGCGGAAACGAGCAGGGAGTGGTGGCGGAGCGGGGCGACGGAGGGAGTGGGGAAGTGTTTGGAAGGCGCGTGCTGCCGATTGAGGGAGGGGGGGTGGAGGGAGGAGGAGATTCGGGAGATGATGAAGGGTGGGGAGGATGAGGTGGAGGGAGGTGGGCCCCCGGAAGACCAAGGGGACGTGGCGCTGCACGTGAGATTATGGTCGCGGAGGTTGCTGCGTGCGGGATGGAGCAGGGACGATGTGGTGTACTCTCTGGGCGCAGCCTTGAGAATGAAAGGAAAATCAACTTCAAAATCCCCCCTTTTTTCTCCACCTACTACATTTTCATTTCTTCCCCTCATTACTGATGCTGTTGGTAATACTCTTATTGTATATAAAGGTAGGCGTAGGGAATTAAATTAGAGAGAAATTAAGGGAGGTGGACTTTTTTGGTAAACAACTTTGGTGCAGAGAGCAATGGAGGCGTATGTACATCGATCTCCCATTCGGATGAAGCTTGTTGTTTAGGGTGTTTTGGAAGAAGAAACAAAACCGAGCGGAGACATCGCGGACCCACAGGAGAGTAAGTCAATAGCCACAAAAATGAGATATACGTATTATATTATATGATGATATGCACAGCGTCCACCACAAGGCAGGATTTTTGGCTAGCATGGCTGGTTTGTTGCATGTTGAGATTTTGGGCTGCGTTGATATTATGGGACAAGGCGACAGCCGAGTGAATATGCCTTTTGTTTCTCCAACCACACTAATCTTATTTCCTCCATTTTCTAACCCCTTTGCTGTTTGCTGTTCTTCTCTTCCTGACTTTTCATTTAGCCCTCTCCTTTTGTCTCTTACACCGCCGTTCACATTTATACAAGCAGAATTTTTATTTTGTTTTCTTCTAGGGCTTGCTGCAGAATTCTGAGAGAACATTCCGTGGATTTTCAACGTCTCTCTGCACTTATTTCTGTGCGCATGTATATAGCATATCTCTACATCCTTTCACAACAGCACTGTGCATATATTCTGACCCCATGTTACAGATAATCATAAACATATATATATTGAAGTCATATCATGTGACATCGTATCCCCATGATTTGAAGATTGAGAAAAAAATTTAGAACAGATCGACCTCCGATCTATGAAAAATAAATCAACATACATTTAGGAAAAATATATGTTCGACAAACTATGTAGTCTTACGTACTATTACCTAATATTATATCAAATTTAAATAACAAGGAATAAATCTATGTCCGGGCAATTTCTCAATTTTTATAATATGGATTCCGTATAATTAAATTGAGAAGGACTAACACGTATGATATCAATATTTAGCATCGCTTTCTTTTTATTAATTAAAGTTAATACTCACTGAAAAAAAAGGGATGGGGGAGGAAGGATTGGTGATTCATCGTAGTAGGATCCACCGATCCACATGTCCTTTATTCCATTTTAGATCCTACATGACTTTTATTCCTTGTTAAGTTATAGTGAAAATAATAATAAAAACGACAGATAAGAACAGAAAGGTCGGTGAGAACTGAGAAGCCGCGAAATATCACTTTTTTTTTTTTCCCCCGAGCAGATAAATATAACAGGTTGATTGCCCAATAGTCTCATGAATCCCGCGGGCGTTAAGACCTATCTAGTTTGATAAGCTACCAGGGTGTATATATTGGATTTTTACAAGTAATTCACAGTGTATGAAATAAGTTTGCGGGGAAAAAAGTTATCTCAGCTTGTCTAAAAAAAAAATGTTTAGGAGAAGCTAAAACAAGTGTCCATTATAGTAATCTTCATTAGATTTTACTGCAACTTGGCGTTGCCCGTGATTTCATTAAAAGTATGCCCAATAATGATCGGTGTAGCCTTTCTCATGCTCGTCTTTTGCTTTCCCCTTCTCTAACATGATTTTAAGCGTATGGCAATCAAAATAAAAAATAAATATCAAATTTCTAAAATTCATATGAAAATGCACCGATCCCCAGATGGGCTCCTCATAGCTTAGAAGAGTTTGTTGTGCATAAGCCCGGGTAAAAACATGCTGCTACTATGTCATAAAATAAAACATCATTGGTTTAATACAACTTTTTCTCCTTTTTATTTGCTTAGATGCATTATTAATGAACCTGCAAATGCAGTAACAACGGTTTTTTAATTTTGCTTTTCCAAAGGACCGAAAAAGGAATTCCAAAGTAAAGTCGACTCAGAGATGCTTAAAATCCAAGTAAACACGTGAGTTCAATTACATTAATTGCGCTTAACTCTTGCGAGTTTGATGCACTATAATTTTTAGTTAATGATAAATATAGCTGGACTCTTTGTATCAAAAAAAGATAAATATAGCTGGACTCTGTGAAGAACGACATGCCGTTGCGCTATATATGGACACCCTGGACCCTTCCGGGGGTCAGAGGTTTGAAATTGATTAGAATTGGTTCATTTATTTATGTTTTTGTTATAAAAAGAATTTAGCTGAGTTAAACCAGGACATACTTTTAGACTTCAGGTTCATAAAGAAACATGTCCTCGTTAACTAGACCAATGCGGGATTGGTTTATTTGTTTTGGTGCCTTACCTCTGGATAGAGCAAATGTGCTTTGACGTTACGGGAATTGTTAATGTTGTTACATAACTTATTAATCATATTACTGATGTGGTAAAAATTAAATTTTTTGAATTTTTTTAAAAATTTATTGTTAACTACTATACTAAATTTGTTAATAGCGTTAAAAAAACTTGTTAATTGCGTTACTAAAGTTGTAAAAATACTAATTTTTAAATTTTCTAAAAAATCTGTTGTTAACTACTATATTAAATTTGTTAATAGCGTTAAAAAATTTGCTAATTGTGTCACTAAAACTACAAAAAAATTATAAAAAAAAAAGTTGCCGGTCACCTGATCTTGGCAGTGGTTGCTAGCACCAAAACTCCGGTGACTGGTCAACCGGTGATGGTGCTTAATAGTTTTTTTAAAAAATATAAAATGTAATTTAATCTTTTCAACAAATTTTTGAATCTCAATTTAATTATGCGTGACCAAATAAAATTTTTTAATTTTAAATACTCCTCCGGTCCTAAATGTAAGATCCTTATACTAGAGTGTATAAGGGTCTTACATTTAGGACCGGAGGAGTATTATTTTTGTGTCATTTTTTTTTTTTTTTAAATCAAAAGCTGATAATTAAGCAACTCCGAAGGCGTAAGGCATCTCTTCAGCCAGGAGGCTTGAGGGGTAATTATAAAGCAAAACGGGTCGCTGAGGCACCGCGGGATAGACAACAAGGCTAATACCTAAGCTATGGCGACGGCGTTGGTGCGATCTACTCTTCTTCGAACCGCTCTGCGAGGAGGCGGACGAGGATCCGCTGTTCCCCGCAGAAACTTCTCTTCCTCAGCTCATCACGACGATGCTTGTGGGTCTCCTTCCTTTTCCTTTTCTTTCCAACCAAGACACACGCACACTCACCCGTTCGTTTATCTAGGTTACAATTTCTGCGTTGATTTTCACCACACACGGCGATCCGATTGTAACTTTCTTTTTTTCTTTATGCGATTTTACTTTAAAGACGATCATTCCCATTGATGGGAGCTGGATTGCGGCGTTGCTTTAGTAAATACATTTGGGAAAACGTGAATGTGTATATGAAATTGCTGTAGTATGATCTTGTTCGTGTTTAAAAATGGAGCATTGAATATGATTTATTTTTTTTTATTTTTTTTTTTGGGGTTCAATGCAGTGACTTGATGGGTGAAATTAAAATATGATTGAATTTTATTTCTGAAGTCTGATTGTTAAGCATTTTGTTTTAGCCAATAGATTTTCAAGCCTAGCTTTAACTTGAATGCGTGATGATTCGGAGGATTCAGATTTTTGTATCATTTTTGTTTTCAACTGCTTCGCAACACGCAGCTTGCACTTGAATTGCCGGAATAACCTTAAGCCACTGCTTTCCCATTGTCAGAATTGCGAAGTAAAATTCTTAGGTGTTCTGCTACCCAAATTTGTCCAAGATTTTAGTTTAGTCGATGTACTTGAATTGCTGGACTAACCTCAAACGATTGCTGCCGCATGGTTATAGGCGCGAATCCTGATTTTCCTGTTAAGAATTTGGTAGAATTTCTGCTATAGGCTTTGATTCTCCCTTATGTTATTTTCTTGCGCTACTAACTTTTTAAAGTCATCTTTTTAATTGTGTCAGACGAGACAGCCAAGTGGGAGAAGATTACTTATCTTGGCATTGCTACCTGCACTGTTTTATCCATTTATCAGCTATCGAAGGGTCATCATCACCATGAAGAGCCTCCGGTGAGCTTTTCTTTCTACACACCTGCAGTCCTTTATTGTTGTTACTTTGACATGCATACTTTTTAAGTGCTCTCTTTCTGATTCTTCTGCCTTGTGTTTGTATATGCTTTATGACAATCCAATTCACATTTTCAATATATCTTTTATGTTGTTGAGCAGGCGTACCCATATTTACACATCCGCAATAAGGAATTTCCATGGGGTATGTTTGTTTCACTTCTCTACGGTTCATTGGATATTGTAATCTCACTTTGTCTACCGTGGTTCATGCTGGAAATATCCATTACCCTAATAGTTTATTCTATTTATAATACTGAGGTCCTTGCCTTGAGTAGTTACATTTCACAATCAGTTATTACAGAGCAGCGTTTTAAGTTGTAACATTATTATGCTAGAGAAAACCACATTTGGTTACATTGATAATAATAGATCTATACTGTAAATTGAGAAAGTATCAAAGGATGTGATCAACATACACTTTTTTCTGAAAATTCTCTGTTCAAATATACTCTTATGCATTTGATGCTATTTATAAAAGTTGTGGCTGCTATAAATCTGCTTGTGTTTGTTATTTTGTACATGAGTAAATACAACGTAGCAACATTTGATTTGATCTTGAAATTAGCTCTAGCGAAATGCAAGACCATTTTCCCATGAAGTTTGTTGTAGGGTTGTATTTACCTTTTCCAAGATTGTTTATTGCTTCGGTTATGCACTGGTCCATGTGGTACTGGCCTAAGCGCCGCCTGCATCCCTCCCAATAATTTCTGGGAACTTGGATCTCAGACTAGCTTGCTCTTGGGCATATTATAGACCAGTGTTTTGACACATGGGGATTCTTTAAGCTTCATATACACACTGCTCATGTATGCTTCATTTCTTCTTACCCAACCCCTTTTTTGGGTATGATCCATGGCAAGTTGGCGACTATTTGAAATTGCGATGTTACCATTGGGCAATTATTTTCTTCAAATTATCATTTGACCTGCAATGAAAGATTGTTTAACATGGTTCTCTTGTGATATATAGGTCCAGATGGTCTTTTTGAAGTGAAGCACTAGTATTGGTGTCATGCTCAGGTTATTTTGCGGCACACTGACGCTTTACTTTGAGCCATTTCCCTTCCCTTGTCAATGTTCAAGACCACACCGATGACGGCATTTTCGTATTTTTTCATGAAATTCGATCTGGATCTTGCAGCACATTTGTTCATGTCTGCTTCCCATGCATTCAAGTAAAATAAAGTTGCAATTACATTTGATCGTTTGTTTCTGTTCTCGATCAATCGTTTGACAACTTCCAAAGAATTTGATTAAAGACAAAACAAGGCTAAAGCGATTGATTTTTTTTTTTCTTAGGCCTGATTGACTGTTTGAGAGACCCATTTTGGTAATGCACTACATATTGGAGTATAATTGTAAACGTGAAATCAGACCCACTGGATTAAGATGAAATTTTTGTACGTTTTGAATTCTTACTCTGGTCTAGAATCTTCCTGCATCAGTGTTTTGCCTATCAAATTTTACCTATTGAAGGCAGAAAAAAACGTTTGGAATGACATATAATCTGTGTTGTGTACTTGTGTTCAAGTTGGTATTTCTGGTTCCATGTGGATGCTAGAGACTTGTGCTGTGGAACATACGATTTGACAGCAAATTTTTTATGAAGAATCATGGATACACGTGATAAACTGTTTATCGATGGTCGTGATTTGAGAAATAGCGAAAATAAATTGCAGGTTAATTATGGCATTTTACAATTAAAATAAATCTAGAATTAGCTCAACCACGAAATATAATGGTTGGATTCGTTAGTGTTAAGTGTTCGGGTTCGATTCCTTGTTTGACGGGACAAACGAAATAATTGATTGATTCTTTGCCCTGTAACCCTGCAGAGTTAAAGATTAAGCAGCGGTCTCTAGCGATCACGGGTTTTGTCATTTTTCATGATATGAAAGTCCATTGTAATGTGGCGACGACAAAGTATCACTCAGAAGTATAAATAATGTAGTAGGGAAATCGTTGACTTGATGAGAAAACTTTTGAGCATGAATCTTTATAGAGATATGGTTCCTTGATTATTTTATCAGAACTTGGCAGCGACGTTACATGACATGAGAGTGTTAACGTTTAACTGGAGAAATCACTCATGATGGCTACTGTCACAGTAATTAATAATGCCGCCTGGGATTGATTTGTTAAACTACCATCCATATCAGCTGTTGAGGGAAGTGGCAAATTAAGCCAGGGACAGACGGTTCTCTTTTAGTTTTTTCCCCGTAAAGCATCCGGTCACTAAGATGGATTGATTACTAAATCATATGTTCGATGGGAAAGGGAGAAGGACTGCGTTCACAAATGGGGGGGGGGGGGGGGAAGCAAGTAGTTCCGCAAAATAAGCTGGTCCGAGTGGATTATACATATAGAAATGACTGAAGAATGCTCCCCGCCGTATTTCTGATGTTTTTGGCTGGACCCCGAAGAATGTTATGCATATCAAATTGACAAAATTAAAATTTCATAGCATATTAGCTATGCTATGCAATGACTCAATACACATCTCATGATATATAAGAAAGAAGCTGGCTGCAATGTATAATTGATTTATTTCAATCATCTCTCCGTGGCTGTATCATCATTGTGATGATTGGTTTCTGGGTTGCCCTCTGGCAAAGTTCCCAAATCCATTCGAGCCTCTTTAATATCCTCATGGATTGAAGAATCGGCATTGCTATTGTCGTTTGAGTTTACTGCGTCCTCTTTCCCATTTTGAGATTCAGCTGACACATTTTGATCTCCATCTTCATTTTCATGCGTTTCCCTCTGATCGGTGCTCTCATTTTCATTCTGCCCTAAATCAGCCGTCCCGTCAGAGGAAGCCTCTTTATCTTCAGGATTCGAAGAATCAGAGGTACTGATTGGCACATCTTGACTAGCATTCACATTGTCGTCAACTTCATTGTCATGGAAATTACTCTTGTTAGCATCACTTTTATTTTCCGAGATTAAGGATTCATCTTTGTTCGGCTTCGAGGAAGTGTCAGAAGGATTGGCTTGTTCTTGGCTCGTATCTACATTATCACTGCCCTTTTCATCACTGCTCGTCCTGCTCTGATCAGTGTTTTCATTGTCATTGTGACCAGAAACACCATTAAATTCTGATTTCGAGGATCTATCTCTCTTCTGTTTAGATGAAGTATCAGAGGAAGCGAGTTGCACCTCTTGGTTAGAATTTAGTGTATCATTTGAAGTGGACAATAAAATATTCTCCTCGGCTTTTTCACCCTGCTCAGGTTTACTAGAGCTATCCTTGAATTCTCCACTGGCAACATCTGTGTCATGGGTTCCCGATGAAGATGAAGTGGAATCAGCTTGCTTCTCTGTGGCGTCTGGTTCAGAATTTTCCGTTTTTAGCATGGTATTGTCCAAGCTGGACTCCTCTGCCTTGGAGTTTGTGTCACCAGATGCTTTCATATGGTTGTCAGTTGTACTAGATGTTGCATCCCTCTCATTCTTCAATGTCGAGTCCAGAGGATCTACATCATCTGTGGTGGGGTTATTTTGCTCCTTCTGCTGCACATCTGACTCTACCTTGGAACTCTTCTTTGAATCATCCTCTGTCCGCGTCTGATTCTCACTACCATCCCCTTGGTTGGTTGTGACTAAAGAATCGGTATCTTCGGTCGTTTCTGATACTGTTGCATCTGAAATTGATTCCTTGTTATCGAAATTGTTCTTTTGAAACTCATTCTCATCTCCCTTCTCGAACTGTTCTGTCTTGTTATCGGTTTCATCTGAGATATCCTGCGTTTTATGATCTAGAGCACTGGAGGCATCTCCTGTATAATGCTCCTCTCTGGCCTCGTCACTGCTCGTTTCCCCGTCCTGAACATTATCCTCTGATGAAATTTGTTCCAGAATCTTATTGTGCTCTTCGTATTTTTCTGCTTCATGGTTATCTTCCTTGTCTTGCTGTTGACTATCCTCCACATGTTCCTTTTCGCTGATCTCTTCGCTCTCCTTAGCTTCGCTTTCTGTCTCTTTTGTCTCTTCATTCTCCTGTTGACTCTCTCCTGTCTCTTTGTCTTCCCCTTCATCTTTGTTTTCTTGAATCCCCTTACTGTCATTTTCCTCACTAAATTTCTCGTCATGCCCCTCACTTTCCTTATCTGTCGTGGCATTTTCAGAATTCTCTTCATTCTCTCTTTCTTGATCTACAGAATCCTGTCTATGCTCAAACTCCTCCTCATTGTTTTGCTCATGCTTTTGCGACAGCGCATCATCATCCACACTATTAATGTCATCGAGCTTGTGTTGTTCATGGTGCTTGCTCTCTTCTTCATCGTTGTCGTCTTTGCGCCTTGCATCGACAACAGGATGATGGGGGTCCTTCCTCCCCAACTTCAAAACTTCACGGTCGGCTTTTATGCTTTTACTATATGATGCTTTCTTTTCATGGGAGTGTCTCACTTGGAAAACCATCCAGAGACCAACGGCAAGCAGGAGACAGAGTTGTACAGCATGCTTCACCTTGAAGCCTTTGGATCTTTGATTCCTCCGTGGAGATGACCTAAACATCTCAGAAACTGAATGTTTCTTGCTCCTCGGAATTCAACTTTCTGGAGCACCTGGCCACATAGGATCGTTATGTAGCTGATAAGAAAGAATAAATAATGAAAAATCAAGATCTCCCTCATCACGTTTTTCTCAAGAGTGCGAATATTCCAGATTTTCCGTTACCAAAGCCCATCAATGGACGAGATACAACAAATAAAAAGGACACATTTTCACCAACATTACTGATAACATGCAAGGTAGGCATCATCAGTAATCAGTAAATCACATAAAATCACGTTGAAAAATCGAACAAATAAGAGATAATTATGTTTTGACCATCAAACACCAGCTCGGTGAATACGAGTTAACGCATCACACGGATTATGGAGGGAAACCAGTTGGATAAGAGATAGTTGTCGGAGGTTGCGTATCAAATGCTGATGCAATAAAGGCATGCTCAAAGGTAATCGTGAAGCCATAAAGATCAGAAGTGACCAAATTGCAATCACATAAATTGAAGAAACTTCTCAGGAGCAATATAAATAGGAAAGCATTACCATGAAGGCATTTAAAACGTACCCGGAAGAAACAGGTCAGCAGATCCGGTAATGGGAGTGAGATGAAGGAAGTATTCTAGTTTACGTTCTGAGGTTCTTTTGGCATTTGGGGATGGAGCAGTTTCTGTGTTAAAGTAGAGAACGGCAATAAGAGGCGGTGGCAGGAGGGAGGACTTCGCTGGTACAATGCTGTGAGAATGTTAGAGGGAGATGGTTTATATTCTGGAAGATCTGGGCATATGAGCTTTGCGAGTTTTTTTTTTTTTTCCCTTTTCGTGGGGGGCACAAAAACTGATGTTAGATCTGATAGCTGCAAAATATAGGCGGATTTAAGATGGGGATAACAACTTTTTGAGAGGTACAATGCAATACATTGGATTGTGGATATGAAATGTTTCGCATTAGCGTGAAATCTTTTGATGGCATGTGGGGGAGTGGCGATTTGATGCCATGGACGAAGCAAATTGGGCCGTTTTAGATTGAGTGGTACGACGCAGTCCAATTGATATGGGATCTTTCACATTTGCGTTTTAAATATTTGATGGCATGTGAGAAGTGGTCATTTAACATCATTTTTTTAAGATGGCAATTTGTGTGATAGACGAAGCAAATTGGGTTGTTGTGAATGTTTGGTTTTCAGTAACAAAATTTATTATCAAAAAATTAATTCATATAAAATATAAGTACATGACCCTGGGTTTTAACGTATAAAAATGTAAATATATGGCTGGGCTTGGGTAATATGGGACTCTTGAAATCTATTCATAGTTTTCAAAGGAACTCCTAAATAGATCTCAATTGGAGTTTCAAATCAGGGTAATAATAAATGCACAAGTAACATTAACTTTTAAATGAGAAGTCAAAAAGAAAAAAAACAGCCCGTGAAAAAAGATTTTAAAATTTAAAAAACACATAAGAACTCGTTCGTAAAACTTGTTGTATCTGTTTATAATTTGTGTATCAAAACCAATGTTAATGTTGTAATGGGTCCTTCTTTATGATTTTTCTATTTTCAAAATCTTTTTTTGTGATTTTTCGGGGGGAAAAAAAAAATCATTAGACGCGAAAGGCTATTACCAATCATTTGAAGTGCCCGCCTCCCTTCGTTTCCTTCTTGATCAAAGAAGCGAGACGTGACCCAAAAACGACCCCCGCCGTTTATGGCCCTTACTGGAGGAGAAGGAATCTTTTGCGGATTGCAATCTCACACGTGGCATCTTATACATTCACATAATAATTAAATTATTCCGTTATCGGCTAAAAATAGGGTTGGGGGAGTACTCCGTTGTCCTGAATTTTTTTATTATTTTTATTTAATCCATACATTATAAAAATTCACAAATTTAAAATAAAATTATAATCTTTGGATCCATGATCCATCTACCCTGTTTTTTTTTTAAGGTAGGCG